TAAATATTATGTTGTTAATAGTTAACAGAAAAAAAATGCAAATATATATAACAATTCACTTATAACCCATATGAGAAGTGGAAAATGAGATATTTTGTGTGCACATACTGCTACTCTAAAAAGATCTATGAAATATTGAGGGAGAAGTTAATCGTTCAAATAACTCGACAATAATTGTTACCTACCCACTCAACAACATAAGTTGAATAGCTATAAATCTAAATTGTTCGTCGTTTTATTTTCTACAAAAGTACTCTTATTGAAATTTTTCACTCCCGGTAGCCTCTGATCCCCAATTTTTAACCACTACAAAAAATTTTCCGAAAATGATCAGGATCATCTGAAACGTCAAAAAACGAAGTTTGAGCGATTATTGTTTTGTTTTTGGCCTTTTTGTCCGCCGCCGCTGGACCGATGTTCAAAAAATTTTATTGCGACCTTGGCATACTGGTAACATTGTGTAAAAATTTCATCAAAATCCGAGCGGTACTTTCCAAGTTATAGGCGGGTAGAAGATCAGCGGACAGACCGACAAACAGACAGAAATGAGTGACATTGCTTTTCGTGATGTACATGTCATATAACATTCAATCTCCGCGATTACAACTTCCTCGCGTGGCGTGGGAAGTAAAAGCGCATGTCAGGACTCTTTTATTCAGAATCCTCGACGATTTTGTTCTGCCCCTATTTTGTTCGTAGTCAAAAGCTAGAATGGGTGGACGATATCCATGCATCCCAGTCCGTCCCTGTACCGCGTTATTGATCCTTCGGAGATGACGCGCTGCCGCGGCCTCCCAGCATCCCGGCGGCACAGTTGGTCGCGGCGATAAGCGGGAGTGCCGAAGAGCCTAAGGGCCAGAGTGAGTCTGCCAGAAATCAGCCCTTTCACGTAACATACCACGCGTCTCTTACAAGATCGGGATACCAGAGGATTATAGCAAGATTTCCGCAGACTAAGTGAAACTGCCAAAGGATCAGAGTGACAGTGCCAGCGATCAGCCCTTTGACGTAACAGTTCGTGCATCGCACAGATTGGAAGTACCGGAACGCAAGTGCCCTGTCGAAGATTTAGAGCGAGAGTGTCAGCCCTGGGAGTGCCTGGTCAGATGGCTTGACACATTAGCCTAAAATGTGCGCGTACCACACGTATCCTAGCCGTAGCAGGCAACCTACAAGGCAAGAAGAATCTGCTCCTGGTGAACCTACTGCCTCATCTGCCCCTTGGAAGCATGAGGAACGACGAGGACTCACCACACCATTGGCATTGGTTTGTACAGATGTTTTATGTCTGTTTTTCGGTAAAGAGCACCACAGGGCACCGTGCTGGGTCCACTTCGTACAAACGTGAAAATAAATAAAAAGTACATTTAAAAAATACAAAGAGCCCCACTTTATTAAACGAGGTGTCCTTAGATGTTTGATTATGCTATAAAAAAGAACCTAAGGACACAAACCTCAAAGTCGATCAATCCGTTTGGGCTCTAGTAGCGTAAAATAGAAATTTCAAAGTTTAAATCCGTTATTTTGATTGTATGAAATTTTGGAATACCCGCACTATCAAGAAAAATCTAGAGACACCTCCTATGTCGAAATCATTTAGCTGCAGTAGGTGAAATGAACAAAATACAAATTTGAAATGTTCGATTAAAATCCGCCGTTTTGAATTATAAAATTTTAGTATACCTGTGTCTCTCACACTGTCATACTTTTTCTAGATACATGTTATATATCAGTAATAGTTTATTGTCCTTTCCGGCACACACTCATCAAAAGAGAATGCAAAATTTAAAAAAGACAACATTAATAATGTACAAACAATTGAACAACAGAAAAACGCATGAATGTGAACTTAGAAATGACATCATATACTTGAAATATGCTTTAAAATTCAAATATTCATCTAAATGTACTCCCAAACATTTAGTGTCGTTATGGAAATTGATGTTTGTCATTTAACCTCATATTCATGTCATCTCATTTCTGTACATTGTGAAATCTTAACACAGCAGTCTTCTCTGGGTTTAAAAATAATTGAAATGTCATTAAATTTAGTGACCAATACGTCATGAGGATCTATATTATAATTAAGGCATCGTCTGCAAACAATATAAAATTCACTTCCAGATCATTTATATGCCCTATGAATGAAGAGGCCCTACTATAGGTCCTTGGGGAACTTCCATACCAATATCAATATATGAAAGCCGGACTTTATTTATGTACCATAATTGTCTATAATAATATACTGGTATATAATATACTGTGGCCTGTTTTCCATCAATTTGGACTCCAGCCCATGGAATATGAGTTCTCGTATATAAAAGGAAATCATACCTTTGATATGAATACAAATCATGTTTATAATAATAGTAATAATAATAATAAATGTATATACAGGGTGACTTTGAAGTTGAGTCATTTATTTTAACAGTGAGTAGATCTGATATATATATATATATAATAAGTTAGTAAACCGTTTTTTGAAGTTTCAGAGAATTCTGATCATTTTTGATAAAAATTTTAGGGATAAGAATTTAGTGGCCTTTATGGCCTCCTTGATTTTCATAGTCTTTGTCGCCTTCACAAAGGTTGAAGGGTGGAGGAGGAGGTTGTATCTCAATTTTTTGATGTTAGTATATTTATACGCACCCAGCCTCGATAACTCTACGCACCTATTAGACATATTTCACACATCAATCACGTTTGCCCTTAAAACTTTGGCAAATGTCTTCGATACGCGTCTGTTTCTACTCTCGGCCGTAAGGTGACGTTGCCAGATCCGGTAGGACATGGAAATAATGAATATGGACTAATGTACGGACCTGTTTGGCTGACTTGTTCCGATTAATTTCTGTTATACATGTTCATAACTAACTTTTTTCTCAGAGGATACAATTTGTGCTAAACATAATAATCTAGGAAATGATGACGGCATATTTTTAGGTAATCAAACTTATTGTAATCTTTTATTTACGTTCCTACCACTGATAATAGGTAATATTTATCTGTATTATTATCCACTTATTGAACAATGTGCATCTGTAGCGACAATAGTATGTATCTGAAATGCATTTAAAATATCGTTAGTAAGCATACGTATAGCCATAAAAATGATTACAAATTTATTAGCAATATTAGCATTGGAAGCCCTTATTTACGGCAGATAAGAATTAAAGTACTAAAATAAAAGTAAATCATTACCAATTCGGTTTTACGAATGGATTTGTCAGAAATTTTGTTGACAATTCGTTTGGACAACTTAATATGACCGTTGCAAATCGTTGCTAGAATATAGCTATTATATCCTTGTCTAGGCCCAAGGAACGCGCTTCAAGCTAACTTGTAATTTTGAAATCACAAATTAGCTACTGTTAGACAACACATAGAGCATATATCCGACTGAGCGATGGCACTTCCTTAGCAGACGGCTTTCAATCGCGGAATTCTATAATTAGTGAACAAAGAACGTTTTAGTTAGTTGATGGATAGTCGAAAGTGAGTATTTTTCACCTAAACCTGCTAGGAATCATGTTAAAAACAACGTAAAATAGTTTTATCGGCTAGTCATAGGTCGTAAAATTTACTAATCGAACCTAAAGACGCGAACGACGTTTTGTGATAAAAACAGCGCAACAGTAACGTAAAAACGCTGCTTTTGAATGCACGAAAGTCATGAAACCAATCATTTTTTAAAATACTCGCACGCAACAAAGTAGTCTAAAACACAACCCGGCGATAATTTAGTTGAAAAGCTTACAGACTGGAAAAAGTTACTCCGCGATAAAGTCAGTTTCTTCACATCTATGGAAACTTTGAACTAACTGTGAGCCTGTTTGACTGACATGATCAATTTAATTTCTTTGTTATACACGTTTGTGGCCAACCTGCTTAACCCCATTTTTTTTCTGACAATGACCTTAAACTAGTCTTCACTCTTCACTCCGAATAAAAAAAAGTATGAGCTCTTGATCGTCGCTTCTATTCGCTCGTCGCTACCTGCCCAGGCATTTATGGGTCGCTGGGCAATAGGAGCGCCCAATTTTGAACGCCCCGCGCTGAGGTTTGTTTTGACTGGTCGCAAATAACATTTGGCTACATAAAGTTCACTAGAACAAATACGATGAGCAAGCTGCTCAGACAACGTTAAGCGTTCCAGTGTCGCGGAGCAGCGGTAGGCATCGGATAGTTCTGATAACAGTTTTAAGCTGGATGTCAGATTTAATAGTGTCTTGATTAAATGTTGCGACATGTTCATATTCTTTTTTTTGCGTGTCACCACTTTTTAGAAAGTCCAAACATGAATGATTTTTCCGCAAGTGATCCTACTTCCCTTGAGTCTATATGCTTTGAGTGAGTTGCTGCGGCACTTTTAATATCGGAGTCGCAATTATTTTACACAGTTTGGAGCGATGCAGCTTTCCGCGTGCATATCGCATTTTATTCGAGAGTTATTGCGATTTTTACTTTTCGCCGCTATGTGTGACGCGAAAAGTTTAGTGATACGTAATATCAGTGACAAGAGACGATCTGTACAGTATTCAATTCAAGGATATCCGTTCATTGATATTTAGATTCAGAAGTGGGATCAAGTTTACATGGGTGAGGCATATCATCAACCTACATATTGAAATGTTATGAATTATTCTCAAACACTGCTCAGGGTTTATAGACCTTTCTTGAGGTTGAGGCTTCATTGGAAAGAAGCAAGCAAATACAAGGAGCAAGATAAGCATTCTAGTGGCAAAGCGCTTTTATGCTAAGTAGCGGCTTCCATCGGATAGTTTTGGTAACGGTTTTAAGCTGGATGTAAGATTTAGTAGTTTCTTGATTAAATGTTGCGAAATGTTCATATTCTTTTTCTGCGTGTCACTTTTTAGAAAGTCCAAACATAAATGGTTTTTCCGCAAGTGATCCTACTTCCCTTGAGTCTATATACTTTGAGTGAGTTGCTGCGGCAGGTTTAATATCGGAGCCGCAATTATTTTACACAGTTTGGAGCGATGCAGCTTTCCGGGTGCATATCGCATTTTATTCGAGAGTTATTGTGATTTTTATTTTTCGCCGTGTGACGTAAAGTTGAGTGATATCAGCGACAAGAGACGATCTGTTCAGGATTCAATTCAAGGCTATCCGTTTATTGATATTTAGAAGTGGGATCAAGTTTACATGGGTGAATAATATCAACAACGTACTAATGTTATGATTATACTCAAATACTTAGAGCTAGATATGTAGACCTTTCTTGAGCTTGAGACTTCATTGGAGAGAATGGGTCTGTTCTTGGAAAACGTTGAAGGGAGGATCTAAGTTTTCATTTCACAGTATTTTGCAGCAGCTGTCATCAAAAGCTGTAATCGATGTCAGAAAGATGGTAAAATTGGAATGAGTTGGTTTAATTGTGCTTATAATCAATAAAAGATGCAAAATATTATTGTGTTTGGTTCCTCGAATTACAACGTAATCACAGATAAGTAAAAAACTGAATACAGGCAACCAGTTGCACATAACTGCTCTGCTGCTGTTTTTTTTTCAATGATCCTTTAGTATCTCGGTTTTCCTTTTTTTAATTATAATTTTGAATATGTCTTATGTATCAAGTATTTTTTCCTTCTTTGTCGTGTCACTTGTACTAATTTACGAAATGTGATCATTAAATATGCATCTTCTACTCGCTAAACTTCTTGTTTACCATAGTCACCCATTATAATTTATAATAATATACAAGTTGGGCGTAGAATATGCTTTTTTTTGTGAAATACTGTAGTAGTCGAGACAGACATAATATACAATCTGCACCCAGCATAGCAGTTCGGTGCATCTGGTTGCCTAGATTCAGTTTTTTGCTTCTCCGTGATTACGCTGTAATCTTAGGAAGCAAACTTATTATTACTTTGCATTGTTTATTGATACTTAGCACAATTAAATTGAAATCCTTAAAATGCTAAACGGATACGGCCATCAAAGACAAATCTTTCTGATATCGATGACAGCTTTTGATGACAACTGTTATAGTCTACTGTGAAAAGAAAAATTGAACGTTCCGCAAGGAAGCTGCATTGTTTCATTGTTCAAGGAGAGATCCATTGTTTCCAAGGAATCCCCAGGCCCAAAAGAAGGTATATAAATATGAGTAAGGCTGTGAGATCGCTCATGTACAAATTTTTCATTTGTTACTACCTATACTGCCTCGAAGACTTGTTAGATTGTATCAAAACGGGGAAAAATATGTATAATTAAATACATATTAGTACGCAGACACGCCACTGTTGTAATGACCGGAAGCAAATGGGGAAACTTGGTCACACTAGTTTTGATATCACATCTGCACCGTGTACAGGTAATGATAAGGCCTAAAATTACACGGTAAAAAACTTTACTGCAACCGGGAGAAAAAAAAGCAGGAAGATTCTATATTGTACCCAGAAAAGCCCCCGATAGTATCGCTATTCACAATAGTACTTAATCTGGCTGAGATCAAATAGAGATCTGTCCTTCATGGGGCAGAATAGGATCCCATCTACTCGAAATTCTGATTCCAAAAGTTCTACCGAAGAGACGTTCATTTTGGCTGGTCGGAGTCCGGATCACCGCAGACTTGATCTGCGACGAGCACACCTCGAATTGTTTAGGGCTAAAATTAACTTCCTGATCCTGTACAAGGCCTAGATAAGGCCTCTATGCCAACGGGCTTTGCTTCTCAGAGCCCTCCTGCATGATACCGCGGTGCGTTGTGCCTACCAGACGAACTCGCCAGGCTTCTGCCTCCCATTGTTGAACTGGCCGGTACGACCGCTCCTTTGTTACTAGTGTGTCGAGACTACGGATCAATCTGCCCGAGGATGCTTATTCCAGTTCTGCGGACATCAGTCAGTTTATGAGCACTTCTCCTGAGGCTTTGATACCGTCAGGAGTGCCTCAAGGGTCGGTTCTTGGGCCACTTCTTTTACTTTATCTATCTCCGATCTTGATGAGGCTGTTAAGCACTGCAATGTTCAGTGCTGTGTGTATTTTACTCAACATCTGCATCTTTAGTGGTATATATCGTTTTTATTGTTTGTTTTATGGACAGACATTTTACGGCTTAAGCGTATGTTTAACTTCGCCCAATGAAGCCGTATTATTATTATTATTATTATTATTATTTAAAAATCGCATTAACAATGTGTCTGTAATCTCCATATAGCAGTTGCATCTATACTAAGTGACATATAAATCCGAACACCCAGTTTAAATGGTTTTATTTTAATAAAAGTTGGTGAATGTATTTATCTTACTGTAAATAACAAGTGAAAAAACTTTCAGCCTTATCAGTTGGACATTCCGGTTTTTTTACTGCTTTTTCTTAATTCACTAACGCTCTAAAAATGAATATTTCAGCCGCAGTAAAGAATCAACGTTGGCAGATTTTGGTTCTTGATATCCTTTACGATCGGTTACGATGCCTAGGGAACGGAGACCTGTACGATTTCGTCAACTTAGTGAGTTTGATAGGGGCCGTATAGTAGGACTTCGGGAAGCTGGACTTTCTTTTCGGGCAATTGCAGTTAGAGTGCAAAGAAGTGCAGACACTGTGGTTAGGTGTTGTCAGGCATGGCTTCGAGAAGGCCGTACTCAAAGAGCAAGGGGCACTGGACGCCGCCGTAGAACAACAGACCGTGAAGATCGCCGCCTAAGATTATTGGCCTTAAGGGACCGTTTCTCCACTACCAGGTCCATTGCAAATGAATGGTTTGCAGAACACGGAAGACCTATTGGCATGCGAAGTGTTTACCGACGAATGAGAAGTTGAGAAGTTTTGGCTTGTTTTCATACCGGCCACACTGGGTCCTCCCTTTAACTCGAGAACACCGACGTAATCGCCTTGACTGGTGCAGACAACGGTCACTCTGGGATCAGGAATGGAACAGTATTGTCTTTAGTGACGAGTCTCGATTTTGTTTAGGCATGCACGATGGTCGTGCCAGGGTTAGAAGGCGACGTGGTGAAAGGAGGAATCCACAGTTTTTTGTTGAAAGACATGTTCATCACACTGTTGGAGTTATGGTTTGGGGTGCTATAGCTTATGGTTCCAGGTCACCTTTAATCTTCATCAGAGGTAACATGAACGCGCAGCGTTATATCCACGAAGTTCTAGAACCCCATCTTTTACCCTATCTTGACACCCTGGCAGATCCAACTTTCCAACAAGATAATGCCCGACCACATGTTGCAAGAGTCACAATAGACTTCTTTCAACATAATGATGTCACATTGTTACCATGGCCACCAAGATCTCCCGACTTATCCCCAATTGAGCACGTGTGGGATATGATAGGTAGGAGATTGCTCAATTTGCAACGTCCTCCTCAGACTCTAGAAGCACTTCGAGCGGAGTTGGTGGTTGCCTGGAATGAGATACCACAGGAGGACATTGACCACCTGATCAGAAGCATGCCTAGGCGCGTTGGAGAATGCGTAGCACATCAGGGTGCATCCACACATTATTAAAGGTCAAAGGGCTTTAAAGCAGTGCAATCATTTTGAAATTTTTATCATTTACTTATTATGCTTCATTAAGTACTTATACAATAATAAAACCATTTAAACTGGGTGCTCGGATTTATATGTTACTTAGTATACATAAAAATAGGGTATAAAACATTTCACTTCGTAAGCAGACTCAAGATGTTCGCGAAACAGACTCGTCAGATATTGTGATCGACCGCAGTTGCCTAACTAGATCTATTGCGAACTAACCTAGATTCTCGAGAGATGAAAGAAAATTCGCGTGTCACTTCGAATAATCTCAATTTTCTTTGAGAAGCTTCGATGACAGCCAAATGAAAGAGGTAACTGGCAAACGTGTTATGCCGATTCTATTAAAAACAGCAATTAGAAAAGGACAAGGTTAACTTCAAACGAAAACAAACACTTAGTTAATTTTAGAGAGTCCTTGGATAACACGAGCGCAAGAATTCCCGAATCCTAGTTGTGATTCAAGAGTCTATTTTCGTACGAAGCAATTTTTCTTATTCGAACATTGAATTCGATTATTTTACATTTAATATTTTATCGCATACGTAACTTAAATAGTAATACCCTGTATTTTTGATATATCATTGCACCGAGTCTGAATTTCAACTGATGGCAACATGTACGAGGGGTACTTGAAAAGAAATCATGAAACAAACGTCTAGACTTAGGAACCCCATCGGCCGGTGTCTTCATTGATTTAAAGAAGGCAGTTGACACAGTTGAACACAAAGAATTACTAACTACTTTGGAGAATCTAGGAATTCGTGGCAAAAAACATACTTCACTCAAAAGCTACCTTACAGATAGGAATCTGTGTGTCAAAGTTAATAATTCCATCAGCGACCTTCGCCATGTAGCATACGGTACCCACGAGGTACAGAATTAGGACCCTATTTGTAAATGATCTTTTTAATCTTCACACACACGGTAAAATCTTGCATGTTTTACGAAAGAATTTAGTTTATTATTTAATTCGAATAGGCTCATCTAATATCCAAAGACCACACAAAACATTATTCAAAAAATCATTTAAATTCTTAGCAGCTAAATTATATAATGTAGTACCAAACGAAATAAAGATACTTAATTTTGGAAAAAAATTTAGAAGAAAATTGAAAGACTGGGTTAGTAATGTGCAGCGAATGACTATACATAATTATATAGAAAACTAAAACTACATAATTCCAATTACATTAATACCTTTTAGATTTAACAATAATTGTTATACACATATATGATTGATTGTTAGTTATTAAGATATAAACCACACACAGGCGATGTCTTCTGTGGTTTTTTCATATTTATTTGCCCATTTTTTGTATTTTGGCGAATAAATATTATTATTATTATAATCAACGAAAATTGATCCATCATTTCCGGAGAGAAGCTGCTATATAGGGTGTCCGCAAAGTTAGGGTTTTCCTTTTCTGAAACAACTACCCTTGAAATAACAAAGGTAATGTGTAGTGAAACGAGGGCGATCAAGTAAAAAAAAATAAAGGAAAAAGTACTCACTCTCCAGTTGACGAGAAGGGCTAAGTACGTCTCTGCCCGAAATCATACCGGTCCAACAGAAAATGAAATCAGCTGATGCGCTACCGAGCAGACGCAGGCAAACAAGGAAGGCAAAATGTTGCGTAAAAAGTCTAGGTATTGCATCCCGTCCAATCAATCGATTTGGGAGAATAAATGATCCAATGCGCATACCGTTCACCATGCCAGCCCAAACATTCACCGAAAATGTTTGTTGAAAATGTGCCCGACGGACAGCGTGCGGATTTTCTACTGACCAAACATGAGTGTTGCGATAGTTATTCACCCCATTACGCGTGAACGTAGATTCGTCTGTCACCAATATGCACTTCAAAAAGTCCGGATTATTGTCATGTTGATGCAACAACCACTCACAAAACCGCACTCTTGCTGGAAAATCGTCAGGTTGAAGGGCTTGCACACGTTGGACGTGAAACGGATACAGCCCCTCTTCACGCAGCATTTGCCACACTTTAGTTTTTGATACTTGCACTTCTCTAGCCACGTCTCTAGTGCTTGTTGAGGGATTCTCGTCTACGCGATTACCTCTACACGCGTGACCGTAACCGTCGGTTGAAGGTTGCATACTGACCTGACACACTGAACCCGACCCAGTTCTGTCGTCGGGTTGAGCTAGTGTCCTAGTACCACTCGGGGATGTCGCGGCTACAGGACGGTATTCAGATATTTTTGTTGTTGCAGAGCACTTTATCTCGGTTCCCTTAAGACACTGGTGTATATGGTACTAAGAAAAATTGCTTATGTGTTCAAGATCTACACGTCGTGTAAAGGAGAACCCCAACTTTGCGGACACCCTGTATATTTGGGTGTCATCAGCGTAAAAATTTACTTTACACAAATTAAAATAAGTGTAAATGTATAAATTAGGAATAAAAGCGGCCCAAGTATGGACCCTTGGGGTACGCCGGATTGTAAAGTTAAAGATAAAGACTGAAACTTCATTTAGCACAACTCGATTATGATTAACTATAGTCAACGCCAAACAAAGTGGCGTGCACGTCATCAAGGTGGGTGTGTTGAAAAATTTACATTGTTGCCAAACTTTTTGTAAAATAATAAAATTTATTATTTACATATCTAGGTTTATAAGCAATATTAACCTCAAATGAGAACAAAAATAATAGTATAATATAATTATAGATCTGTACTTGCATAATCATTAAGTATGACAATTATTGATCAGATGACACTATGAAACTACCATATTTAATTGATAGCTTAAAGGTACTGAATAAAAATCCAAATGGGGTCCTCCAAATTTTATGCATGGTATTTATTTTACAGAATTCATACAGAAAAATGCATTCTAAAATTAGGTAAGCTACTGGTGTAAGCTTTTTCTGTACAATAAAGTTAGTCGGAGTTTCTTTCTTCAGCGCTGTCTGAATCTGAATCTTCATCACTCTCAAAGTTGATTATTAAAGGTTCGATGTCTGGTCGATCAAAAATTCGTTCTCTTTCATACCATTTAAAAATTTCTTGCTCAGTATGTCGAACACTATTTTTCCACATGTCTGGGGTAACCGTTTGTAGAGCCTCGTTCCACATATCCAAACAGTCTTTTTCACTGTTACCATCTCTACCAATATGTCTGTTATAGTAACCTTTTGCTATGCCCCAAATTAACTCAATAGGGTTAAATATACAATGGTAAGGAGGCAGACGAAGAACTTTGTGCCCATGTTGTTCCGCCAATTCATCAATCACGTATATTTTAGGTGGTTTGTTTCTAAAAAAGCAGTTATTTTAATAATAGGAATAAACAAAAGAAATATAAACTGTCGACCAAAATATATATAATTAAGAAGCATTATGTACCGAGCAACAATACTCAATAGCTCTGTTTTAAACATTGTGTTTAAAAATGGTATGTTTTGATTTGTCAACCAGTCTTGGATATTTTTTTTTGTCCATGCATTGTTGGGCACTTTGTTCAATATCATGCTGTGATAAGGGGCGTTATCCAGTATAATCATAGATGGACTCTCCAATTTTTCTAATAACTGATGTTGAAACCATTTCAAAAAATTGTCCTGGTTCATCTCTCCATGGTAATCGCTCAATTTTGTTTTCGAAGAAAATATCGCTTCACTACCCTCAATAAACCCATTTTCATTTCCAGCATGTAATACATATAATGTATCTAAAATATATTAGTTTTAAATTTTATAGTGCAAATTGTGTAAAAGTACATACCTTTTACCATCTGTTTTAATAGCTTTCACGCTTTTTTGGTTTCCATTTTGCCAAGAGCGACCTATGGTCCCATTTTGAAATATCCAAGTTTCATCGAGGAAGACAAACTGGTATAAGGCCTCAACCTTGGCTTGATTGTATTGCCTTAGAAATTCCACCCTTTTCAAAGCTATACTTGGTAGTTCCATGAGCCCTCGTCGCGGATTGTCCTTAAGCCACTTAAATCCAAGATCTCTAAGCAACCGCCTTAAAGACGTGGCACTACCATCAAATAATGCCCTATCTCTTAATCGAGACCATAAAGTTTGTATCGTAACTTGTTCTTCTGAAACCATGTGTAATATGACATTATAATTTAGTTAACAAATTAATGCAAATTTCTGATAAGTTATTATAATAAGATCTTACTTTTGTGATACATATTATAGATCACTTCTCGAATGGCACTTGTATCCAATGTCGCTGTGTTGGTTACACGTTTAATATAACTCCGCTTTTTCTTGGGCGATTCTAAATTTGCATCACTTTTCACACCCTCGGAAATACGACTAACTGTCCTTAAACTAATTTTTAAAGCAGCAGCAACACGCTACAAAAAATGAAATAATATTTCACTATTATTAATATACATTACATATAATTATTAGTAACCTACCTCTTGAACAGCATTTAAAGGCAACAAAGGCCCGTTGTTGTCCCTTTCTTGCTCAAAGTAGTGCATTAACGAGGCCACGAGTTCCTTACACCGACTATTTAACTGTTTGGGCATCTTTATATACCAAAATTGCCTTTATCTACTCGTAAAATGAATAATTTTGTTTTGAAACAAACAGTTGTTGATTTACAGTATGCGGGGCCAAAGGATTTATAAAGATTTGAAATGCCACAAATTGATTCAGTGTCAAAATTAATACAAATGTCAGTTCCCAGTTTAAATAAGTTTCAAGGTGACAATGTGTCAACGCTGCGAAATCGGTTTAGTGCGTTTACATGTCGATAAGTGATTGGAGCGTTTGCAAAACATTTTATTTCGCATAATGCGTCTAAATTTATCAGAAAGCAACTTATGTGATATTTTAATAACAATGTTTATATGACTATTAACCATAATAAGAGAGTAATGACCATTTTACAATTTATATATCACATTAATATGAAACTGCAATAGAGCAATTGTTTGTGATAGAAACCTAGGCATTAGGTCGGGGAATTTTTATCGTGATGACGTGCACGCCACTTTGTTTGGCGTTGACTATAAGTAGCATATAACACCCCTATTTTGTGGATGGGGTTCATTGCTTGCGGTACGTTATAATTTGAACACTCTGTGAACCATAGTATCTATCAATCTGATATATGACACAAGACTGACAGGATATGGAACTGTCAACGTCAAGTCCCTGCTATATCGGTCACGCAGCGGGTCTTTTACCATTAAGGAGACCTTCAGGAGTTTAAGCAATATGAATTATTTGTAATGACGCATTTCCCATCTAATAAAATCTTATGTTTACGTCTTAAATGTATATGTTTATTAATCTACGCATGTTTTGTTCCAGAGCCCTGTCAGTCATCACAAAAAGGAAGTATTATCTTCGAAGACTGGTCAGCACTTAGTCAAAGTATCCTCCCGAAATGGACCACTGATCTCAAAAACATCGCTCACCTATCAAAAGGTAAGATTATTCGACAATTCACAATACAACTAGCATTAAGATTTTAACGATTTAAAGGTATGTTTAAATTATTTTTAATGGAAATAATGACTTTGGAGGAGGAGTAAACCGTAATTATATTCAGTTACATAATTTTCAACAGAAGTTAGGTCCTCTATTATTTGTGCTTCCGAAATTTCTGAATTTTCATGCTTGAGACTATGGTATACTTGCGAGTCGTCAGTAAGGTGAATACTACAAAATTTCACTACCCTGTTTATATCTGCTATATACTCAATATTTTCGAAATTTTTTGCTATTACAATACTTCCTCACCAGCGGCGTAGGAAGTAAAAGGAAAATAACGGAAGGGAGGAGGTAGTATAGAAAATAGGAGGCAGTTAATATGATAACTAACTGTACGTCTTTCTTTTTCAGCCTGTACAAAACAACAAAGACTACACATCAGACTATGGAGCTCATTTACACCAAACGAGTAGTTCTAGTAAATATATGAGTACGTCATGCCACAACGGAATTTCTAGAAGCTCCGTCATCCATGCAGATGTAAGTATATTTTTTTGAATGGAGAAATACTCAAAAACATTGTATTCCAATGACCGTTCTATTCGTCATTGTCGGAGAAGTGCACAAATAATTACACTTGTGTTTTTTCCTAGAGTGCACTGTTTTCGTAAAAATGTAAATAAAACAAATTAGATAATCAAAGCTCTATTTCAATAAATGTTAAAAAACCACCATTCTGACGAATACAAGTGCGGCATCTTTTTTCGAAAAAACAGTGGCGTACTATTTTTATTTGGAAAAATAATGCCACTTTTGAAGATATTAAACAAATTGTTTTTTATTTTTAAACTTCAATACCCGGTAATGAAGCGCTTGATAAAAATTTTTTATATAGAAGACCCCCCTTAAAATGCGGTCCTGTGTACGATGTTTCATTTTTATGTACAAAGTAATCCGCAGAGAAAAAGAAATTACGCCTATCAATAATTTCGTGCGACATCGTTCAACTGTGCATGCAACAACGACATAACCATTGAATTTCAATCTTTCAACGAAACACACATGCATATAAAGCTCACGTACATGCACACGGGCGTAACTATGGGGTAGCCCTTTCGCGCCTCTTCCAGCTATCTTACGATTTATTTTGATATTTTGGCCAATGACTTTTGCTTCAATAACCTACAGCTACTAATTTAAAATCCTTTGTTGCAGTTACCGTTATTAGAATCGACCAAATCAGCTTCGCGGACGAATCTGAACCAGGGAAAGCCCCCGGTGAATCCCCTAGTGTCACCGATGGGAGATCCGATATTTCCTGCGATAAACAACAACTCGCGCAACGACCAAGAACTCTCTAACAACAACAAGGAAGGCAGCGGATTTCCCCTAACACCGTCTGGTAAGTTTCCTTTGACATAAAAATAAAGCGCGATAAATACTAGAGAAAATTCTCAGTAACACAAAATGAAAATGATTGGAAACAATTTACGAAATGAGGGTGTAGCAGTTCTCACGGGGCAAAAGAGAAAATACTATGATAAGAAGATCGATAGCACTAAAAATGATTCTAAAATGATGTGGAAAACATTAAACAACATTGCTTCTTCAAATAGAAAGACAGAATTATCTAGAACGCGTTTAGAGATGGGGCAGCGACTGAAAAAAGTAAACCAAAAAGAATGAACACTTATTTTATAGACAGCGTAAATCAAATAGTGAAGACGATTGATGACAGTGATCCAAACTTATGTTCATTACAAGTGTATCATGATTCGTCAGTGAATCAACGTCAATAATCTAAGAAAAGCTATCTCAGAATTGAAATCTAATGAAAAATCCAAGTGAGAACCTCTCAAAAAAGATTCTAAATGATTGTTTCAATATAATTGGAGAGAAATTATTATTATTGGGGAATCATCGCTTACAGTATATTCAGATAAGAGATAGACCGGACATAAACAAGACCACGTGATCAATGAACGCTGTAATATTCGGCAGGGACGTATTAAGAGTCACGCAGTACATATTTTAGATAGTAGATGCTGCTTTGCGTAACTTTGTAGTAAATTAGCACAATTCGATGTGTATACGGTTGGTGATGGATATAGGATCATGTGGGGGTGGGGTAAGAAATATATAATGATGTAAATATACATAAGGGTTTCAAAATTTTCGCTTCGATTTCCAGCTTCGGATGCCGCCTGATGTTTGGTGAAATACAGTCGAATATAATCTCAAAATGGCGTTTAAATTAGCCTAAATTAAAAATAATCGTATATCTCTTAAAATTGCTTTTAGAATATTGATTAGTATATTTTTTGATTTCTAGGTAAATATGTAACCAAATTAAAACGTTCAAAACGTAAAAAAATGTGCATGATTGAACATTGTCAGAAAGTAGATTCTTGAATACAGTAGCTTTATAATTACTTATAACTTACCGAATTTGATGAACGACATCTTTTATTGGAAAGATGAGCTTGATGAGCTTTCATCATCGCTACTGCCTGAAGCACCAACGTCAATAATGAATGGCTCGACTTGTTCCTCTAAAATATTGTCCAGTTCCCACATTCTCTTTTCAACTTTGTCTTTCACGTGCTTAATACAGTTTTCCCATTTTTGCGCTGTTATTAATTCTAGTGCTTCTTTGAAAAGTCCTTTGAGGTCACAAAATTTAAAAGTTGTATTGTGCTTAGCTATATAATTTTTAACTTCTGCCCATATGAGCTCAATGGGATTGAGCTCGCAATGGTATGGAGGTAAACGGAGCACAGTTTTATTTTGACTTGCTGCCATTTCGTCAATGGCGTATTTTTGATATTCCGCCTTGTGATCCTTGACAATTCTTAATAATTGTACTTTCAGCATTGCTTCTTCAAAGTTGATATTTTTCGAGCGGAGCCAATTTTGAACATCAACTTTCCTTGAAGCCGTTGTTGGGACCTTCTCCATTCTTCGAGAATGATAAGGCGCATTATCCAACACAATTACTGCGTTTTCCTCTAAGTTCGGTAAAATTTTTGAAAACCACTGTTCAAACGATTCGCCATTCATTTCCTCGTGGTAATCTCCAGTTTTCTTAGACTCAAAGCAACCACACACCGTCAACAACAAATCCATCCTCACTGCCAATATGGCAGATAATGAGCCTTTTCCCTTTACCTGGAAATCGAAGTACTAACTGGTGTAGATTTATTTCAATAAGCGAACCTTTTTCAAATGTTTTCATCACATTCAGCGAAAAAACATTGAGACATGAGTATCAGATTGCTATAATTGGGATTATTTAGTCATATTGAAAGAAAGAATATTGAACGTCGTATGATTACTCAGCGCTTCACAATTTAATTTAAAGTTATAAACCTTTAAAAAATGAATGATCAGGAACCTGAAATACGCGCAAATATTAATATTAACAAATTATAACTTTATAAAGCTTAAAGTATGAATTAAAATGATTAGAAATATTAGGAACGGTACACAATATAAAACTTAGTAACTTTTTTTAAGTTTATAATATTCGACATATTTTAAGATTATATTAAAAAATTATTGAAATATCGAAAACACATAAAAACATGGCTTAAAAAAGTTCTAACAAATGAAAATGACAATAAAGCATCCACGCATTTTATCGAAAGTTATAAAAGTTTTGTTACTTGTAATATGTTTCATCTGCCCCCTGGAATTAATGTTTAGAACCTTGTTCCCAAGGTTTGAAAAACATCCGATTGTTGTCTATTACTCGTATTTACCTGCTGGATTTTTTAATCCGGTGGACAGTCCATCTAGAAAGGCCCTCCTGGATGAAGTTACAGAATCATCAACCCATACTTTACTTGTAGTGTGTCCTGCGTTTACCCACGTTTCATCAAGGTAATAAATCTTCCTGTTTTGATTTCTATATTTCCCAATTTTTGTTAAATAATCCCTCCTCCATAGCACAATTTCTTCTCTATCCAGTAGTAAACTATTACGACCCCGTTTTTTCCATTTGAAATTTAAATGCTTCAGTAACGCATGGAAAGTTGATCGTTTGAAATTTGGCAACGTTGTATCTCCATTTACCTCCTGCAGTACTTTATCTATAGTAGGTATTTCACTCCTAAAGAAGAATTCATGCACTTTCCTCCTAATCGCATGCTTATCAGCTTCATCCAATGATTTAACAATACTTTTGCGATGTTTACTGGTCATTGGCTCAGAAAAGGTGTGATTTTTTTGTATTGTCTTAACACATTAAACACTGATGCGCGACACACCCCAACTTTGTGAGAAACCTTCACAACAATTTCTTTGATGGTTGATGCCTCGTTCTCTTCGCGCTCGATCTTATATATATTCAAAATGACCTCTTTCATTTCTGCACTCAGGTGTCTTTTTTTAGAGCGTTTCCTAGGCGGACTACAGGAGTTTACAACTTCATCGGCAGTATCTGTACTACTGGGCATTTTGCGCAAGCAGTTGATAACAATAACAATCAATAACAAGGTATAACAATAACAACGACAAACTCAACAACTTAATAAGATAACAAACGAAAACGTCCAAAGAAATATCAAATTGCAATGATGCACACGACATACGTAACACGTCTGAACCTGAATGTAACTCTGCCTTGATACGACTGCTCTGCCGCTCGGCATAGGCATTTAATTGCGAATTGACCAATGAGGGCTCCTGTTTTACGTCGAGACGGCGGCGTTAGCGTGAAAATCACCCGAACCTGCTGTTTACATCCGGTCTATCTCTTATCTGAATATACTGTAGTACATGGTGAATTCCCATCAAAATTGAAGTGTTCCACAGTTACTCCTGTGCCAAAAGTTCAACATTACGAGGGATGTCTTTTAAGTTTTACATATGGAAATAAAACAACACGGTAGGTAGCTTTAAATGACTTTATTGTTTTCCGAAGTATTCTCCACGAAGATTAATACACATCTGCATGCGCTCGAACCAATTTTCGAAGCACTTATTCCACTCGTTTGCTGGCAGATCCAAAACGGCATTTTTGAATACGTCAACCGCTTCTTCTGGTGACTGGAACCTTTGACCTCGCAGTCTGTTTTTAATTTTCGGGAAAGTAAAGAAATCGTTAGGACTTAGATCGGGACTCTATGGAGGATGGTCCAATAATTCCTCGTTTTCTTCTGTTAAATACTGCCTTGTTTTTTGGGCTGAGTGCGAACTTGCAATGTCTTGGTGGAGGATGATTCTTCTTTCGGGGTTGATTTTTCGAAGCTCGGTAAAGACTTTTGGCAAACAAATGGTGGTATACCAATCCGCAGTAACAGTTCTTTGCTCATTAAGAGGAATTGTTGCAATATGAACCGCTTTTGCGACAAATGTCGCGACCATCTTTTTCGAAACACTTCGAGAACGGATGACTTTTGTTGGCTTTTCTTCACCTTGGAACACCCAAACAGCCGACTGTCGTTTATTTTCTGGTTCATAACAGTAAATCCACGATTCATCACCACTAACAATGCTGTACACATTTTTTGAGTTTCCGGAATTGAAGCGGTCAAGCGTTTTTTGACACCAATTAACCCTGGCTGCTTTCTGCTCTTCAGTCAACAGGTGGGGTATCCAACGAGAAACTAATTTTCTTACTCCTAATTCTTCATGTAAATTTTTTTGAATTGAGGTCTTTGAGATCTTCAAGGACGCCTCAATCTCGCGATATGTCACATGTCTATCTTCAATGATGAGTTTGCGCACAGCATCGACGTTTTCCTGGGTGACTGCCGTTTTTCGTGCACCCACCCTGGAATCGTCGCTAAGAGTCACCCGTCCACGTTTAAATTCTCCATACCAACGGGAAATTGTCGACTGATGTGGCGCTTCGTTGCCGAAAACAGACAGTAACTCAGCAAGGCATTCTTGTTGCGATAATTGTCTCTGAAAGTTGTAATAAATTATGGCGCGAAAATGTTCTCGGTTGAGTTCCATTTTTCTAACGACTTGGTGATACTTAAAAATTCACTGTAGTGAGAACACTGCACGTATTGTTGTGAAACTTTGAAAGTTTACTAAAGAGTGAGGTTAAGATTCAGTACTGACGTTCGATCCGCGCGGCCTACTATGTTTCTATATGCAAAACTTAAAAGACATCCCTCGTATGTGCTGCTGCACTGCTAGCGCATACCTCATATGCAAGTTTTGATGCATTGTTTTGACATTGTTCAAGCAAAATTAGAGGATATTCGTTTGAAAAAAAGAACTTTCATACTCTTGCGACACCCTGTTTAATAGTAATTTCGTATCGTATGGAGAAATACACATAAATGTTTGTTTTATGATGGATCACAATGTATATTGTAAGGAACTTACTTTGATTCTTGAAAATAGGAAATTACCTCTTTGGCGATTTGTTTTGAGATAAATGTTCAA